TTTAAATCATTGTGGTTGGGGTTGGAGAGTAGAGATGGTGTTTGATATTTTAGGGTCGGATGCAGAGGTCGTGTTTGTTGTTTTAGGGTTGGATGACTTCAAATCACCAGTACCTACCGGTTGGGGGGGGGCTTTAACGAGGTAACCGAATCGGCCGGGCTTTAACGAGGTAACCGAATCGGCCTGGCCCTCCAGTCCAAATTCATTTGAGCCCTGCCGGTACAAAAAATGCGGTAGGTACTGGTGGTTTAAGCTTGGCCGGTGTGCCTCGCTCATCCCAAACCGCCGCGGCATAATGATGTTAAGGGACGCTGGGCTCGATTCCCAGCTATATGAAATATTATGAATATACTAAGCAAAGCCAGGTAATGCTCCCGGTCCCTCTTGGGAAAAATAAAAAAAAAAGGAAAAAAAGAGAGGCTATTTTAGGGAAAAAAAAAAAAAAAAGATTTCAAGAGTTGACACCAATACTAATCTTAAAACTGAGATAACCGGTACAGTAGGGGGGGGGCAAAAAAAAAAGGAAAAAAAAAAGAAACTAAAAAACACTCTGCAAAGCGAGTTCATGAGACTCTTCTACGACACGAATGAGAGGCGGTTAACGGAGACCATAATTTTCAGACAACATGTCATGCCATTTATACCAAAATCCAAGGGGGTCATTTTAACCAAACTTGCCACCAAGGTGAATTACAGCCAAAAACACGGATGAATTTGATGGTTTTTTTTACCACAATCATGTCCAGAGATTAGTGTCAAAAGCACGGAGTTAGCTTACGAGTATAAACAATGAATACAACGTATCTGGCCGCAATTACGGCCAGACAGGGATGAATCTGACCACAATCACGTCCAGAGCTTAGCAGAAAAAGAAGTGCTATTGTGAGCATGCGCTGAGCCAGTACACAACGATAAATTTTATGTGAAAAAGAAGATCAAACGCATGCGGATATCTTAAGAGTATACACAATGAATACAATGTTCATAGCGTGGCAGCATGGTTTTCAAAAAAAAAAAAAAAAAAAAAAAGTTCAGACTGCTTCTCCCTGTCCTCCCACGCGGGAATCTTTCTCAAAAAAGTGCAACGAAGTTGCCTCTACCAAAAGGATTAAAAAAATAATAATAAAAAAAAATCGGGAACGCCCCTTCAAATCTACCAAGAAAATTCGGGAACACTTCTTTTCCGGTGTGCCGGCACAAAGTCTGTCACCAGAGCTTCCATAGTGCATGAAAATGGAAGGGACACAGTCAATAGTCTTGCTAAACTGATGGACAGCCGTGTGCTTAGCTAAAAGACATTGAGGCCGTTGGTTGGTCGTGTTATCTTATTGGAGTATAGGCAAGTGGAAAGTCATCGTTTTTTTTTTCACTGACATGCAGAGGTTTGAATCTTTTACCTATTAAACCACCAGTACTTGACCCATACATCATCCGCGGGGCGTTGTCGTTAACGCCCCGCAACTTTCGCGACCTCTGGGCCGATGATAAATCGCATCTACGGCCCAGAGTGCGCCGCCGGCCTCCGAGAGTCACAGGGAGGGCCCCGCGGCCGATGTAAAGGCCAAGTACGGGTGGTTTAAGGGAAACAGTTGGTAGTACTACCAAACTGACGGACAACCGTGAGCTTGGGGGAAATCTTGCACTACCGCACCACCCCATGGCTTGCATCTCTCTGGACGACTCCTTCATCCCCACCCACACAGTGTGGACAGAGAGTGTCAATAGCTAAGCCAACAACCTCTCACAGCCCTGGCTATCTCTGAGGGTTGGCAGAATGAAGCTGGAACTCAGGAAAAAAAAAATGACCGCGTCAATCTTCTGCGGCAGCATGGAGTCTTCTTCTTCTCACAAATCATAACTGCATCGCCTCCCTGAAGCTATGATGCTATGATGGTGACCTTCCCTCTCATCCCCCGACCTCGCTAGCACAATTGCCAGACTAGCACAAGTGCCATGGTCTCTGAATCGCACAAGTGCCCACGCTCTGTATCGCACAACTGCCATGTGCGCTGTGCAACACAAGCACCAGCAGAATGAAGTCGTCGACAATGAAAGCTGGTCTCCCTCCCCTTTTCGAGTCCTCTTCCTCAGGTAGCTATGGCCGCCAGTCGACAGGTAAGCTTCCTGCACCTTCTTGCCAACCTTTGTGCAATGGTTATGTCCCCCCCTTCCTATCTCCACCCCTGACTCTACTCTTTATGGATCAGGGGTGGAGATAGGAAGGAGGACATATCGTCACGACTCTCTCTGGCCAGCCGAAAGAAACCAGTTTTCTGGTGACCAACCTTCATCGTGCTGATCTCCAATATCTGTATTTCGATTGGAATGAAGAAAGTTGCGTCGTGGTAGAGCCTTTTCGGTAGGGGAGACGATGCTGAACCTGGTGAGGATAACGAAGCCGACACAAAAGCTTTCCGGTATAGAATAGCCAACACAATTTCGTGGACGGACATTGCGTTCCTGATGTCGGTCATCAGTCCACACCACCACCTCTGAGTCTCTTCAGATGAAAAACGTGGAGCACATGCACCCACTGGTCTTCTCTGCAGCAGCTATGGCTGAACACTCCCAGTTCACACTCTCTCCAGGTAAGCTTCCTCGTACCCCCAAGCCTTGGACTCAACCTCACATCTCCCCTCTTCTCTCTCTCTCTCTCTCTCTCTCTCTCTCTCTCTCTCTTGTAGGTATGATGCATCAGCATCTTCTACAGGTTTTGGCTACCACTCTTTTATAGTGTTTCCTTGCCCTGGCCTGCCCTACCTCCAGCTTTTGCCTCCTCGAAGGGCTGCGATTTCCCGACCACTGTGGGGCAGATTTGCTCGCGGCCAGTGTGTGCCTGCACGCAGTGAGCCTTGGAAAGTTCCTTTCCTGAGAACTGCACTTAGGGCATGCTAAAAAAAAAAACACCTTTTTCAAAATGCACCTGACCACAAATACGGACAGGTGCTGATGCATCATCTGACTGCAATCACATCCCATTGCGAGTTGAAAAAGCCTTTCGTGTGAATGGTCCGTCGCCTTTTCAATCTCTCCGTGTGGCATATGTGAAAAAAAAAACTTGCAGTCCAGAATGGTGCGGATCAGTTTGGGACTCCGATGATCCGTTTATCGCAGATTGTTCGCTGGATGATCTTATACCGAGTTTCGGTAATTTGCGGCTCGCGGAACTTCGGCCTCCAGGGCCGTGGTCCCATTAGCAAAGAGCATCGGATTGAATGCCTGAATCTGGACGTGTTTGAGGACAGGAGCAGGGAATCGAGATCGAACTGCTTTTCTGTATCTCTGTGTAAAACATAGCCAGATTCAGGATTTCTATCCTATCCCCTTCGTTAGTGGGACCACGGCCGTTGATGACGACAGTAGTCAACTTCTCAAAGACGCAACTTCCGGAAATTAAAAAAAAAAAAAAAATTAAAAATTAAAAATTAAAAAAATTAAAAAAAAGGTATTCCAAAAACTTGCTGCCGCACTGCTCCAATCCATTTCTAGTAGTTTCTACTCTTCATCAAGTAGGGAAAGATCCACCTCACAAAAAAGGAAAAAAAAAGAAAAAAAAAAGAAAAGAACCTCCTCAGAATAATTTGGAAAACTAAGAATGATTAATTATTAACTTAAAAAATGATAAATTTTCATAATCATAATACAAGGACACAAAAAGAAATCACATAATATCTTCTACTCCTTCACTGGAAAACAGTGAAAAAAAAGGGTCCTTTGGGGAAACTGGGACATCCGCTAAAATTGGAAGCATATGCTGAGAAAGAAGATCACCGTTCACGAGGTCAGTCGGATACATTCAAGACGCAAGCATTTGGACGTCATTGCGACCAGATACATCCGTTAAAATTGGAACCACAGGGAGACGATCACCATGGTCCCTGTGACATGCAGAAATTGAGAAACTTGGTCCAGATTAACAAAAAAAAGAAAAAAGAATTTCGGATTATAAAATACAAAAGATCGAAAGAAATCAAATCCCTCTGTCACGATGCCAAGCTCCGATATTTACAGACCGAGATATTCATTCGTAAAAACTGAGAGCCACCGTCGACATTTACAAAGTTAGGGCCTTGCCACGCACCACTGTCGAAAGTTCGAAATGAAAAAAAATTAAAAAATGCATGTGTATCTTCCTCAAAAAAGTGGCGGCATGCATCCTTTCCTGTTCGAATAGCAAAAGGATGCATCTTGCCACTTTCTGCGGGAACATGCACTTGAGCATTTTGTCATTTTTTTCACTTTTGTTTTCGTTTCGACAGTGGCGTTGCGAGGTGTTTACAGGGTACAACGTCGGATCTCAGCTCGGGTCGTATTACATTTGGAGAACATTTTTTTCTTAGAATTAAAAAGATTGAAGCTACGGTGTCGGATCCCGTCAGTCAGATTCTGCCTGACATTCAGAGTGACACCGTACTTACACTAGGACTTTTTCAACCGATTCCTGGACGTAATCGCAGCCAGATACATCCAGGTTCGGTTGAAAACGCGGTCAGATACATTTAAGATGGATGGTGCTAGTGTGAGTACGCCTCGAGAGGCTCTCTTCTGGAGACTGCCCAAGGTTGGGGGTTGGGGGGGATTTCTCTCATGGAGAAATCAGCAAATAATTTTAACTGAAGGAGTACAAAACAGTTGAAGAAACTCAGATCATTCAGGGATGATTCAGCGAAGTATGCGTCTTCCAACAGACCAGTTGCGAAGAGAAGTAGACCTTTTTCACTTGCCGGCGTTCTGTGAATGGATCAGTCACAGTTGCAAGAGAAGCCACTTGATGTTCACCAACGGATCGGAAGGAGGCACTCGTGTCATCGAAGGGCAGATAGTAGATACGTCTGCTCCACACGATGATTGGCGACAGGGTTCTCTCGCTGAAACGACATCCATGTGTGCTTTCTTCTCACAAAGCAAGCTCCACAAATCGGAGGCCAACAAACTCCAATCCCCTGTGAAAGTAGAGTAGTAGAGTACCTAGCAAAGCACCAGAGTACCAGTCCGCGGACTCTGGTGGGATCCTTTCATTGTCCTGGCAGTCGTTGGTTGAGCTGTCCACGGCAGATGGACGGCGAAACTTCAACTACCCTGTCCTTGATTGGGGTTTCGACTTCTTGGCCCAAAACACCCGAGAGTCCGATCGCTCCCCCCTGCTCCTTGGCGTTCTAGTTCTTGCCTTCTCATTCTTGCAGGCCTCATTGCAAGTTCGTGAAACTGCAGAGGACACACATACACACACAGACACACAGTGAGCGAGTGAGTGAGTGAGCGAGAGAGAGAGAGAGAGAGAGAGAGAGAGAGAGAGAGAGAGAGAGAGAGAGAGAGAGAGAGAGAGAGAGAGA